GAAAAGAAAGGTGGAATCTTTGTTTGCACTGATGCTGCTGCTCGTGGTGTTGACATTCCAAATGTTTCACACATTATCCAGGTGAGTTTCCTTTTTTGTTAAATTTTGTGGATTACAGCTAAATTATTTCAGTTAAGCTTATGATAAATGGAAAATCTTTCCAGTTTATGGCTCCTGTCACTTGGAGAAGGTAGGAATGAGCATCAGAAAACCATATGATAACTATTAAAGTGACTAGATGTTATTTCCCTCAATCTACGTATTATATGGACACTATTTAATTTAATGAAATGATTTTGTGGCTTCTGGAAGTACGTTTTAACAGAGCTAACTCTCTAAACTGTTGTGTTCTGTCAGGCAGACTTTGCCACTTCTGCTGTAGATTTTTTGCATAGGGTTGGTCGCACGGCACGAGCTGGTCATTATGGACTTGTCACTAGCCTTTACACTGAATCCAACCGGGATCTTGTCAATGCCATCCGTAGAGCTGGAAAACTGGGTCAGCCAGTGGTAATTCCCTAACCTTACAGTTTTGCTTACCTCTTTTGACAGTTCCTATCATTCTATCATAAATGCTGCTTAAAGAAAATAGTAGTGTCTTCTCTGGTAATGGTCCTCCTCACCACTCAGCCTTTCAAAAAAATTGCACAAGTTGGTTTATGACACTTTAATGCATGCTACTTGTTTATGTTGAAGTGTACCACATTTGTTTTCCGTTGCTGATTGGCACCTTCAAGTGATGCCTAAAATAAAATGTTCTTCATTGGCTACAGGAAACAGCATTTAGCAGAAAAAGAAGTTTCCGGAACAAGCTTAAGAAGAGAGGTAGAGTTCATGATTAGATTTTGACTTGCCGACTTCATACATATATACATGCTTACATCATATGTATCGTGTGAATCGGCTATGGTTATGATCTTTGTTTTTTAACAGGTTCTAGCAAAGTTGGAGACTCGGCTGTGGAATTGACACAAGTGTAATCAGAAACTTGGGATGTAAAGAAGCATCCATAACGTTTGATCTTTTATGTTACTGTTGATTTTATAAATGTATTTGAATTTATTGATACATAAATAGCAAATCATTTTTCAATTCCCATCACTTTCTGTTCCCATCCTTCATGTTTTAAAGCAAATGTTCTCTTCAGACCATTAAATTCAAAAGTCATCAAATGTTCCACACGGTCGTTTTATACAATCATGTGAGCTCCTTCCTTCACTAATTGATTTCTTAGCTAACTCCTTCCATTTCCATTTCCTTGCTTCTCTCTCCTTCCATTACTTCCTTCGACTTCTGCACTTCACCAGCTCTCCTCTCCTCCTCAAACCCTCACTGCTACTCCCCAACCAGCAATTCTAGCTGGATGCACCACGTCACGATCATGTCCTGTTCTTCATTTGAGTTGATGAACCATTCAGGGAGCTTTTTCCTTTCGGATTCTCTGATCACCCAGAAAAAATGCAGATTGCTTTCTTTAAACCCCATGTTGATGTTTCCTTTGTCAGATCCAACATCAAGATCCAACATCGAATAAATATTAAAGAAAAGAGTGATTTAAATATATTAAGATTTATGTAATTATTGAATTAGTCTTTTAATTTTAATATGGTGTCAATACATGTAATGAGTTATCAAATATATCTAAATTAAGATTAAGATCATGTGTTTTCCCAACAAATGGTATTAAAGTCAATCGCTAGCATAGTTAGTGGTAATTTCAATTTTGTATTAGACCTAACAAAAGTGAGAATGTGTTATGTAAACTCATATCAAGTATACTTATGAACTATGTATGTATACCAAAAAAATGAATCATGCATATATATATATAAAAGAACTCTTATGAAAGCATTTACAACTCAAATATTAAAATATGTTTTTCTTGTGAATATGAAAAATAAAAATTTCACATAGAATAAATATGAAAAAAATAATGATTTAAATATGTTAAAATTCATGTAAGCCTCCCCACTAACACCATGTCTCCCAACACTCCACTTTTTCATCCTTCAACGAAACCATGCTGCTGAGAGATGGTACAACTCTTGCTTTCTTAAACAGAAACTACCAACTTTTTTTTTTTTTTTAATAAAGATAATAATCAGTAAATTAGCTTAGTTATTTATTAGAAACTAAGGATTCAATTCTTAAATGAGGGTGAACGTCACATCCTTCTCATTGAGAAACGCAATCTAACCAGTGGATCGCATGGTGAAATTCAAAAATTACCAACTTTAGCCTTTTATACTGACTCTAAAGTTATCAATACAAAATTTAAAATATTTATTTATTTATTTATTTAAAAAAGCCATAAATGGATAAAATATCAGGTAAATTGTTCCTTAAACAGAAACTATATTAACTCTTAACCCTTTTTATAGGCTCTGTAGTTATCGACACAAATTCTAAATATTTATTTTTTTAAAAAATCATAAATTAATAAAATATTAAATATATCATGTGACCCAAACATAATATTATGCATCCATAATCACATCCTTTATATATACTAACAAGTGTGAAATCATATCTTGAACAGGTATTGGTATTTCCTTGTGACTTTATAAAACGTACCTTGACTTTGCTTTCCATTTCTTGACAAGTGTTGTCAAAAATCTCATCACCTTTCTCAAATTTAGGGAACTGTCTTGATTTCATGGCTAAGTAAGCCAAATAAACTTTTCCGGACCCTGAGAAAAGTAAGGTCCCGCCCGCAGGTTTGTCGAAGGATGTCCGGGCGACGTCTAAGGACGTGTCCTCTGGCCATTTTTTTCTTTTTCTCTAACATGGGGATATTGGAGAGATAGGAAAAATTTTCAAGTTATGGAAGGGAATATAATTTTTTTTAATCAATAAAATTCAAGCATTTAAACTTAGGAATGAACCACTAAACTTGATGTACTGATTCAGACTTGTCCTCTGGCTTGAGCGGCAAGATGAGCAGGCCACAGTGTACCTGACAGAAAATGTTGCACACGGTAGCAGAGTTGGTAAAGAACGAAGCTCCACATACCCCCTGTTGGCCACGTCAGGAACTCGGGGCTACAAGTAGCAGACAGCACATGTTACATCCAGCAGGCACTACCCATATGGATATGGGCTTGACGTGGAATGTGTGCTGTCTAGTGCGGCCCTGATGCCTTAGGAAGCCAGGCGTTTTGCAAGTTGAAAGACAGCATTAATGTGGCCTTCACTTGGGTATGGCTAAAACTTACATGTCAGTTTCTGTTAATTGATAAGCAATTTAACATAAGTTTTTTTTTT